AGTTGGAGTCTCACTCTGTTGCCCAGACTGGAGTGCAGTGGCTGCTCCCGGCCACCGCAGCCTCTACCTGCTTGGCTCCGGCGGTCCTTCTGCCTCAGCCTTCCGGGTAGCCGGAATTACAGGCATGCACTACCACGCCCGGCTGATTTTTTGATTTATTGTAGAGATGAGGTCTCGCTGCCCAGGCGGGTCTCGAACCCGCGGGCTCAGGCAATCCACTCACCTCAGCCTCCCAAAGGCGCGGGATTACAGGCTGAACCACAGAGCCCAGCTGATCACACACTTTCTTAGAACGTGGTGGAAGACCCAAGAATGCATCCTCCTCCCTCGGCTGAGACAGAGTAATTACGGTGAACAATGAACACATGGCTTAGATGCACCTTCTGCCTTGGCTGGTCCAAGTAGCGCCGTCGTTCTCACCTGGGTTCAAACCTGGCCCTGGCTGCCAGCGGCTTGGCTCCAGACGTTTCTTCTCTTAATCAGGCACTTTGTGCTCTCTGGAAACGGCCCTCCCATCAGTCACATTCCAGAGGAAGGGGAAGGGGGGCTTGGCAGGTATCAACCACAAAGCCTTCTGGACAAAAGAAGTCTGTAAGCCCTAGTGGAATGCCAGCTTTTTGTGAAAATAATCAGGATGCTGAGAATTCTTTTTTTTTTAATCTTTTTTTTCCTGGAAGGTAACTGTGTAAAAGAAAACACCTGCTGCTCCTCGGGCTGTTTTAAAATACTGCCTGCAGTTTACAAGTGCAGAGATTTGCATGTGTTGTGGAACATTTGCAGGCAAAATGCAGTCTGGGAAAAACAGATTTGTGGCAGGGCAAGGCCTTTGGGCTGCAATTAGATGATGTTAGGACTCTGGGATGAAGTAGACAAACTGTGTGCAGGCCTCTTGAGAACAAAGGTTATGTCTAGAGGATCAACAGTTTTCTTTAGTAGTATTATTATTCTTATCATCATCATCATTATTTTGTAGAGACAGGGTCTCACTGTGTTGCCCAGGCTAGTCTTGAACTCGTGGCCTCAAACGATCCTCCTGCCTCAGCCTCCCAAAGTGCTGGAATTACAGCCATGAGCCACTGTGCCCAGCCTTTCTTTTTGTTTTAGATTGAAATCCAAATATTTGCAGAACAAAAGGTAGTTCTAATTTCTTTCGCCTGAATCACCCCCCCCCCAAAAATCCCATAATGAACTGCTGATTTTTAGCATTATCCCAGGAACAGTGGTTGGCCTTGTTTACAGAGCTGAGGTGGTAGCAAAGACTGTCTAAAGATTCTGTCGCTTTAACCTGAAGAGCACCGCATTTGTGGTCAGCCAGCTCTCTCTCGTTAATCACAACAAATGTGTATTCTTTTCGCAGGGCGAACCTTCCCGACACACCCGTATTTCGCTGCCCAGCTTGGAGCAGGACAGCTGTCCCTCTACAACATTTTGAAAGCCTACTCGCTTCTAGACCAGGAAGTAGGATACTGCCAAGGTCTCAGCTTTGTTGCAGGCATTTTACTTCTTCATATGAGTGAAGAGGAGGCGTTTAAAATGCTCAAGTTCCTGATGTTTGACATGGGGCTGCGGAAACAGTATCGGCCGGACATGATTATTTTACAGGTATAGAGCGTTCCTGGTGTCTTTGTAAAAACCTATGCCAAGAATATTCATTATCCCTCTCCAGGTAACGTGGCCGTCTCTGTTGTTGCTGATAACAGTACTCTGTGCTGGGCATTATTCCAGCTGTTTCATTTGCACTTACCTCCCCAGTAACATAACGGCAGGACATTGTTAACCAACTCAGTGTATAGATGGGCCAGGTCACATGGGTAGCAAGTGGCGGAGCTGGAGCTTAAACCCACACCTGTTTGACTCAGGGCCTTCTCTCTCATACCCTTCATGACCTGTCAGGCGATCCAACTCCTACTTCTGAGTTTCTGCTACTTCCTCTGCTGCGGAGCCCCGCCTCCACCCGTCATCAGCTCAAATATCACATCCTGGGAGAAGCTCTTCCTGAGCCGCCCTGATGCTGTGTCTCGATGCTGTGTCTCCCCGGGCACAGGGTATCACATTATCCAGGCTCATTTCTTTCGCACAGCACCTTCACTGCCAGAAATTAACCTTTTGGTTTACTTATCCACTCACCTGTTTATTTTCTGACTTTCCTTATCACACATGCTTCATGAGAGGTGACGGGGTCTTAGGGTCTTTGTGCTGAATTTTCAGTTTCTTTTTCTAGGTTGGAAAATATATTTAATTTAGAAAGTAAATTAGGGGGAGAGAGAGAGAGAGAGAGAGGAGATTCACCTCCCCAAGGTAGGGGAGGGGGCCAAAGCCAGGAAACATGGTGACCATAGTTCATAGAGCCACGTGGGCACAACAGAGTTTAACAAAGCAGTGGCCCCAGTTTCTAAACAGTGCTTGGGATCAAGTAGGCACCCATTAGTATTTGTTGAGTGAGTGAACCTATCAAAAGAAAACCAAACACAGAGCGTATTCTAAGTACCAAGTGCTGTTCCTGCTGCCTTTCAGAGGTGGGAAATGTCCTGGATCTCGCCTCAGGAATATTCCTGAATGTGGCTTACAATGTTGAGGACGTGTTTACATGCTCATTTACCAGCAAGATACTGTCTAAAGATTCTCAGCCTCAGCATTCATCCTGGGAGAGGATACATTGCAACTGATGACCCTCTATGAGAATACCAAATGATGTGATTAAAAGTCCTTTCACCTCAGCCTGTGAATTTGAGCCTCATGAACATAAATCTTATAAAAGGAAGCCATTTCATTCACTGGAAAATTCTGACCCACGTGACACTTGCCCCACTTACTGGTTGGGGGTTGGTTGGAAGGACCTTTCTACATTCCCCTCATTGTCTTTCATGTAGATGGACTTTTTGAGATCTCTCTAATTTAGCATAGCACACAGCTCTTTTTGGCCAGGTGGCCTTGCTTGATAAGACTCAGATATAGAAATTGAAGAGTCGGCTTAAGGGGATCATATTGCCTGAGCCTCTGAAAGCAGTTTTTTTTGCTTTTTTCCCCAACTTGGGCAGTGCATACCCAACCTAGACCGTCTCAGGAGGATTTTGGCCCTGTTTAGAGGGTTGTTTCTTTAGGCTCAGGCCAAGGCACGCTCAGATCTGGACTTTCTCTGTGAGGCCTGGGCTCATTGTGGGGTCACCAGCTCATGGAGTGAGCTCCTTGTCAGAACCAGGCTGTTCTCTGAAAAGGAAACCCTTAAAGCTGGAACCGACTTTACTTGGAAAAAGTTTTGTCTTAAGACAAACACTTGTCTTCTTGTTTTAACTTGCCTAGGAGCTATATATTTCATATGTTATATAAGGCTAAAGAAATTACACTTGTGCTGCCAATTGAGTAATTTTAGAGGTCCAGGGCAGTTTACTAAGTGAACGTGTACAATGGACTCCTGTGATAAGATGCCCGGGTTCACTTTTAGCAGGGAGGCTGGCTTTTTCTTTCTCATTCCCTCAGGCTTGAGTTTTGCTAAGAATGTGTATTTGTAAGAGAATTTATGAAATGTTTGCACAAGACAGATGCTTAGATTCTCTTAGCCAAGGAACACAAGGGAACAATAAAAGGAAGTGGCAAGACACAGCACTAGTGTCCTGGACCTACATCTCGCAGTGCCAGCCTACAGCGGGCACCCAGGAAGCGCTTGTTGCATGAGTTAGTAGCTGGCACGAGGCAGACAGGACGTTGAGAACTCCAGAAATTCTCCCCTTACACCCACCCGTGAGTGGGGTAAGTCATCCTGTGCGTGGTGGACATCTCGTTCCCAGCCCCTGTGGCCATCTTTCCTGCAGATTCAGATGTACCAGCTCTCCAGGCTGCTGCACGATTACCACAGAGACCTCTACGACCACCTGGAGGAACATGAGATCGGGCCCAGCCTCTACGCCGCCCCCTGGTTCCTCACCGTGTTCGCCTCGCAGTTCCCGCTGGGATTCGTAGCCAGAGTCTTTGGTGAGCATGGGGAATCTATAGGCCGGAACCAGCATTCTCTCGTTAGATGAGAAACCCTTCTTGTCACTCCATGGTGGTTCTTATTGTTATGCCTGCGGCTCTTCCAAGACCAGGGTATTGCTTGAGATCCTGAGTGGGGTCAGGTTTGGGTTTCCTGACTTCCAGGCGGGACTTCCCAGATACCTCCCTCGTGTGGGATGTAGTTCTGATTCCTTCCCTGCCAGGCTCTCCCTGCAGAGGCATTTTGAAGACTTGGACATGTGTTTTCCTCACAGGCCACCCTTTTCAGCCTCTCTGGGCTGTGACTGCGGACTGGCGCTGACCCTGGCCTCTGGGCAGCTGCTTTTTCTAGAATTCTCTTTGCATCTCCTTCGCCCTTTTCTCTCCTTTCCCTGCCCTCAGCTCTCTATTTCCTCCAGTTGCTCTCTTGAAGACCAGTGTCAGAGCCTTGAGTGACACCTCTAGTGTAGAGGACTCGGCCTCCCTCTCAGCCTCCACACCTCACGCAGGCCCCCTGCCTCATGTGCCCACATGCCACAGCTTCTGTCATTTCTGTGCACCGACCATAACTTAGGTGGCTCATGTATGAAACCATCCCGTTTTCTTGATGTGCTTGTTGAGGATATTGTCTCTGTCACTTAATAGGTGTTCACCTGCAAAGTGTCAAAACTGTATTGAGATGGCAGGAATAGGACTGTCCACTAGGATGTTAGGAACTGTGAGATATTATGAGGGCAATAATTCTTGCACAGTTTGTTTCCCCTACTTCAGAATGAAAGTAATATTTCTGACAATTCACTTTTCTTTTTCTTTTTTTTTTTGAGTTGGGGTCTCTGTCTCCCAGGCTGGAATACAGTAGCACGGTCATGGCTAACTACAGCCTCAACCTCCTGGGCTCAGGTGAGCCTTCTGCCTCAGCCTCCTGAGTAGTTGGGACTACAGGAATATGCCTGGCTAATTTTTTTATTTTTTCATAGAAATAAGGTCTTGCTATGTTGCCCAGGATGGTCTGAAACTCCTAGGCTCAAGCAATCCTCTCACTTCAGTCTCCCAAATGACTGGGATTATAGGCAGGAGCCACCACCACACCCAACCGACAATTCGGGTTTAATTTTTTTTTTTTTTAATTTAAAGGAAGGCAGAACTTCCTAATCCAAGGAGGAGGTTACTAAAAAATTGATAGTTATTCTATATCAAGTGTTTTAAAAAGTCATTTATGGTCAGTCACTTGATAGCTTAAAAATTCAGCATCTTATACTTTTTAAGATTGTTTTTAGGATTAGAGAGCATCTTCAAGGGAATGTTCAAAAACATTAAGAATGTACTTAGCATACTTTGAGTAAACATCTTATATATCCAAATTCTAGAAACTCTAAAATTTGATTTGTAATAGAAATGAGCACTGACTCTGCTTCTTCTTTCGTTCCCTTTCCCTCAGAGGACTAGACTTTTGTTATTCATATCTATCCACCAGAACCTTTAAAGAATCTTCTGTTTTACTTTGCTAGAATTTATGTTTCTAAAATACTCATTACTCCTTTTTGCATAATTTATCTCCACAAACCGATTTTTTATTTTCTGTCCTTAAAAAAAAAAAATCACTAAAATAAATACTAAAAGCTATCTGCCAGTTAAATAAAAATCTTTAGTGAGATTTCATGAAACTTTATACCATAGTTTAAAAAAAATAACTAAAAGCCTCAAAATTGTGTGCTTAGTTTTAACAGAAGTTACAGAAGCCATAAGATCTCTAGTTGTAAGTCTCAATCTTTCTTGCCAACAACTTCTGTGTTTCTGACTTTTCTTATTCTGGAAATGAAAAGAAAAACATGAGCACACCTTCCTTACATTTTCTCCAAATTCTTTCACTGTGTTTTTTGTGCAGGATCATGGAGGGAAGGGAGGCGGCAAAGGGGAAGGGAGGCTGTTTATGTGCAGCTCAGGCAGGGAATTCTGGTGTATGAAGAAAATTCTCCTCTAGGGGCTGTAGGGGCTCAGAGGCCATCATGGAATCAATCATCCCTGCCCAGGGGCCCCAGGCACTACCACTGCTGCCTGCAGAAAGTTCTGGGGGTCTAGGAGAGATGTCTCTCCTTGGGCTGTGTAGGTGGGTAAAAGGCATGAAAAACTAGCCTCTAGTTTGGAAGTGTCACCTCTTCTGCTGCAGAATAAACGGAGCTCTGTGCAGCTCTCTCTGGTGACTTCCTAACAGAAGCTGAAGCTTGAAGAGGTGGAGTGTTTTTCTTTGTGGTACTTAGGCAGTGGTGGGTCCTGGAGTTGCTTAGACGTTGTATATAAAGATGCCAGTGTCTCGTAATTCCTGGATCCCATAGACCCCTGCCCCTCCAGTTGGCTAAATTCTCCTGGGGTTACAGGCAGGAAGTGAGATCTCAAGGCCACACTGTGTTGTGATGTCACTTTGCAAAAATCTCTCTTTTTTTTTTTTTTGTACAGTCCATCCCATCTTTCAGTGCTTAGAAACAAGCTTAGGCTCCACAGAAAAGATAGGTTTTTTTTAAAAGCCATTTCTTTATTTAGCATTGGTGACCTAATTGCATTTCTTTGGCCCCATGAAGGTAGATGGCTTAGTTTTACATTCTGAAGCCTGCCAGTCGGGCACTGTAGTCATTCTGGCCTGGAGCTTATTTCATTGTAAGACTTTAAGTCTGGATTAAACTCTAAAAACAAATGGGCCTTTGTTGATGATTCACTGTTTTCCATATAAGTGTAAGATTCTAACTGCTCTGCTTACATTGGCAGAGCTCATGCAGTAATAGGTCGCCTCGAATGAAATGTATGTGCCACTTAGAGGGTAGCTGCCATGGAGAAGGTGCCTTCACTCGCATGGCGACCATACGTGGCTGAGTGTCAGTCCTTCTCTCTGCTATCATATAATGTCAGATGGCCTCCTCCTGTATTTTCCTAGGGCTCCGGGGCAGTTGCTTGTTCTGATCATCTTCTCATCACTTCTATCTTTGGGGACAAATATCTGAAAAATAGGTCCTGGCTTGTTTTGATGGAAGAGGCGCCTACAGTCTTCGGCTCCTGGGAATTTCCTATAAGACACGCTGCCAAGGAGATGAGAGAGGGGGTGGGGTCTAAACATGGAGGGTGTGGCAAAAAAGCACAGATGCCACCTGCAGAGGGTGAAAGACTGGGAAAGCCAGATTGCTTATATGCCCAGGGCAGCATCAAGCTCTGCAGACAACGTGCTGCAGTGGTCACAAAGTGAGTTTTTGCACAGTCTGTGCTGCTGTTCCATGTAGCACTGCCGTTGGTCTTCAATGTTCCCCATTCCTAATAGGATGTGGGACTCCCTCCCAGGAGAAAGTTAAGAAGAGGTGTCCTTGACAAAGACAGAAGTGGCTAGAAAAGAGATGCCCTGTAAGTTCGCATAGGAAGATGCACTTTCAGATCTGGGGAGTTTCAAGGGAGTTCCAGCACATGGTACCACAGTTACAGGATCTGCAAAGGAAAATGGTTATTTGTGGCATTCTCAGGGAGGAATGTGCAAAGTGGTAGAGTCAGCTGAATTAAGAGTTGGCTCAATGGCTCACGCCTATAATCGCAGCACTTTGGGAGGTCGAGGTGAGAGGATTGCCTGAGCCCATGGGTTCAAGACCAGCCTGAGCAACTTGGTGAGACCTGATCTCTACAATAAATAAAAAAATTAGTCAGGTATGGTGGTGCGTGCCTGTAGTTCCAGCTATTCGGAAAGCTGAGGCGGAAGGATCACCTGAGCACAGCAGGTCGAGGCTGCGGTGGCTGGGCGACAGAGTGAGACTCCAACTCAAAAAAAAAAAAAAAAAAAAGAGTTCCTCTACTTCCTGCCTGGTAAAACCCTTTACCTTTTTCTAGGTGGCTTGGAAAACGAAAGACTAGAAGGAAGAGGCAGGAAAAAGTCTCACTGATGGGAAATGGCTGCAGTGTTGTGAGCCAGGCTGCAGCAGGGCCATGGGGGTGAAAGCAGCAGTTTCTTTTTCCTACAGTGTTTTTTTTTTTTTTGAGACAGCGTTTCACTCTGTCACCTCAGGCTCGAGTGCAGTGGCACAATCAGAGCTCACCACAGCCTTGACCTTCCTGGGCTCAAGCAGTCCTCTTGATCAGCCTCCCGAATAGCTGAGACGACAGGCATGTGCCACCATGCCCAGCTAATTTTTTCTATTTCTATTTTTTGTACAGACAGGATCTCACTTTGTTGACCAGGCTGGTCTTAAACTCCTGGCCTCAAGCGATCCTCCTGTATTGGCCTCCCAAAGTGCTGAGATTACAGTTGTGAGCCACTGTGCCCAGCTCACAGTGTTTTTCAAATGCAGGACATCAGCTTACTTTCTCAAGGAGAATAATTAGCTTTTGTGTATTTTTTAAATTGTAGAATGCAAATGTTTAAGGATTAGAAGACAGACAAAATAAAAATAGGTTTGGGACAGTGGGTTTATAAATAACATTTTGTTTTAACTGTTATTTTAAAACTAATTGTTTGAAGGATATAGATGTTACCCCCAGGTGTCGTCAGATAAATTTAGGATCCCTTTCCTCCCAAGCAAAACTCACAAGGATTCTTCCTTCAACCCTTCAAACACATCCTTCGTCTTGCACGCTAATGTTCTCCTAATTCAAGGCCTCTCCTGCTAATCGAAGTTTCTGGGGCAGAGCTTTCCTGGGCCTCGAAGGAAGGGGTACTTTGGGAGGAGCTGTGATGATCGAACATCTCTGGCGGCCTTCAGTGGACGCCTGGGCGTCGGCTGGTAGGAACCAGCCAGGGGTCTCCTTAAACAGTGGGTGGCCTTTCTCCATCTGCAGCTAACCAGCCCTTGCAGGGATCAGACCCATGCCCTGAATCTCATTAACATTCTCTCCTTACCAGAGAACTCACCTACTCAGAAATAGAGGAACACAAAGCCTCAGGGACTCCCTGGGGTGCTGGGGTAAAGTTAAAGTTGCTTGGCCAGGGCAGAGGTCCTGGGGGGTCTGGCCCCCTATCTCCCCACTGTTGGCCATACCTCCCACCCCACCCCTGCCTTGCCAGACTCCTTCCAGACTCCTGCATGTGGGGTCTTCCTCACCTCTCTGCATCGACACCCCCTTTTCCTTCTGCTCAGAGTATTACTCGCTGACTTCTTACCTAGCAAGTTTCCTTTGGTTCTTCACGCAGTCACCTTTCCTGGACTGTTTCCCATCTCCTTGTTCTCATAACACCCGGGCATAACTACACCAGTGCAGTACTTTTTGATGCTTCTGCAGTATGTTCTTTGTGCTTTTTCTATGACTTAATCCCTAGTGTCCAGTACAGTGCCTGGTGTATGTTACATGCTCCATATGCGCTTGTTAAGTTAAAGAAACTTCTCAACAAGGTGCTCTTAGGGTATTGTGAGTTAGCATTAGGAAAGGGCACTTCTTTTTTATTGCATTAAATACAAACAGATCCAATAAAATAAACATGCCCAGAGTTCAATTTTAATTTTTTTAACATATCAATTTAAAAAACTGTAAAAGCACACACATTTTTCCAAATTTCCTTTCATTCTCATCATACAATCCAGAAAAGTCTCAATCTGGAATTATAGAAAGTGCTTACTAAGTGGATTTGTTGTAAAAACCAATGCCCTAATAAGGAATAAAACTCAGAAGCTTTGTTGTTAACCTGAAGAGACCACTGATATGCTGTATATGCTCGTAAAAGTTCCCAATAACTACTTATTTTAATTGGCTCAGGTGTGGTACAGTGTCTAATTTTAAGGCATTTGTCCTTCAGAGACAAAAGATATCAAACTATAGAAAATCTCTGGACTCGTAGTGAAATTCTTCACCTGGGATTCCTAATCCCCCCCCCAGTCTCATTTTCCATTCTGAAAGATGCCATCAATTCTTGTTCAGCTATAAATATTCATATATTGAAAGGCAGTCTTACGGTCTAAACTATTATAACTTCAAATTCACTTTATCATTTTGCTTTTGGAAATGTTATTTTTTGTTTAAAAATACATCTTAGTTATAGTAGTATTTTAGATCTTTTTACTTTCTTTAGTGGTGAGGTTTATGAGTAGACTGTCTGTTTTTGTTTTTGTTTGTGTTGGGGTCTCCTCACTCTGTCTCCCAGGCTGGAGTGCATGATCACAGCTCACTGTAGCCTTGACCTCCTGGGCTCAGGTGATCCTTCCACTTTAGCCTCCCAAGTAGCTGGGACTACAGGTGTACACCACTACACCCAGCTAATTTTTTTATTTTTTGTAGAAACGAGGTCTCACTATGTTGCCCAGGCGGGTCTCGAACTCCTGGGCTCAAGCAATCCACTCCCCCTTGGCCTCCCAAGTGCTAGAATGGCAGGCATGAACCACCACACCCAACCAACTCTGTGTTTTATAAACCAGTCATTTCATGGGAACATTCTTCCATGGCACTGCCTCCATTCAAGTAAAACTTCACTTAGGAAGCTCAGATTGCAAAGATGCAATCAGTTCTATGGTTTCTCTTCCCAGCCTCAACTACCATGCCTAAGAAGGAAGTGAAAGATCAACCCTTCCCAGTTTCCTGGGCACCCTGAGCCATCAGCAGTTGTGATGTTTGCAGAAACTGTGGCCCTGAAGGGTGAGAGACAAGACTGACAGCCATCATGCCTCAGGGCTACACCCAGCCTGGCATGGGCCAGCCCAGTGGGCCCCAGCTCAGCTCACGTGTTCAAGGGCTTTGTGAAGGTCTCTCCAGGGCTAACTGACCCACAGGCTCCTGGGTCTGTCATTTCTCCCCATGCTTTGTCCATAAATAGCCCTAAGTTTCCCATTTGTGCTGCCACTTCCAGCCTTTGCTTTTCAAATGTTTCTTTATGTCTTTTAAATGTTGTCACACTAAACCACCTAGAGAGGCATCTGCCAGGATTCTCCCCCTCACCTATTTTTGTTTTTCTTGATTTGATGAAATTTACAACCTAGAATCTTCCATTATCCTGCAGCCAAAGAAAAGAGAGAAAAGAAATACTGCCAGTTGCCTCTAATTAGATTCATGCTCTGATCTTTAATATTATTTTTCTTATATCATTATTCCAGATATTAGGTAATTTGCCTGAATTTAGTCACCCAGTATTGAATGACTGTGTCTGTGCCTTTGTCCCAGGACATTTGACCCTTTTTTTCCAGGGCCTTCAACTCTACAAGGAAGGGGAGGCCAAGGAAAGTTGCCTTGGCCGCCTGCTTTCTCTCTCACTGTGCAAAATCTCAGAAAAAATATGGCAAGAACTAGACAGTAACTTTGACAAAGTTGTTTGAACTCCTCAGAGGAGAAAAAATGTTCTTTACTGCATTATCATGTTAAACTTCAGTAAACTTGTGTTTATTAATACGCTTTTGCAGTTGTGTGATATTTTACAGTTTTTAGAGATCTTTTAATTCAAAGCAGAAGAAACAGAGGCACTTTTTCACTTACTCTATCTTAATTTCTGATGTTGTAGTATCTATAAAAGTCTTTCCGTTTTACCCATAAAACACGTTTGAGTAACTCCTTTAAAACCCAGAGCATTCCTGGAAAAATAGACTAATAAAAAACTTTTCTTTTTCCTTCTTCCAACTTAACTTTTGAAGCATATTTGAATTTAATTGATTTTCAGGGTAAAAAAATGATTTATCTGAACCTGTGATAAAATCTTAGCCTTGTGTTTATTTATTAGTTTTATTTGCAATATTGTCTTGACAACCCTATCTGAGATATCAGGTTCTTAAAAAGGAAATAAAGTTTGCAATGTCGGGTTCTGCTTCTCACCCTCCTGCTCTGACATGTGGAAAAAGAAACAGAACGGTACTTCTTCAGAAACTGGTCTGTCTTAACTTTCTACGTTTTTGTGTTTTCTCAGATATGATCTTTCTTCAGGGATCAGAGGTCATATTTAAAGTGGCCTTGAGTCTCTTGGGAAGCCATAAGCCCTTGATTCTGCAGCATGAAAACCTAGAAACCATAGTTGACTTTATCAAAAACACACTACCCAACTTGGGCCTGGTGCAAATGGAAAAGACCATCAATCAGGTAGGATTTCGTCCATACCTTGCAAACCTTAAGCAATCCTGGGGATGTGGGAGCATCAGTGTCCTTTGAACATGGGCTGTTTTCTACGACTCAGTGTTCTGACCAGCATCCTACACAGTATGGCATGTTGGAGGCACGTTGCAAATATGTATGGAATTCTTAAATATAGAAAATGCCCCAAAAAAGAGGGTGCTGAAAAATGTACACACATTTTAAGAAAGAAAAAAAATTGTATTAAAATTGTAATACTCAGTGTATACTGAGAGAAAAGATGAATACAAGTTACATTTGACTTCTGCAATTATAAGAGGAGCTCAAAGGGTTCCCATCAGCATCTAGACATTCCTGATGACAGTGGACGACTGCAGGACTTGTATCTGCTTGAGGCCTCCTGGATCTTTCCTTGTGCACATCACACCCAGGACCATGTGTCTCAAACTTATCACGAATGCATGCAGCTGTTAGGCGCATTGGAGGTTCTTTTGCAAACTCACATCTCCATTGTCGTTGTCCTCCACAACATTCTTAAATTTCAGATACCACTTCAAAATGGTCTTGCACTCCTCAAACGACAACCCTGCTTCTGCCATTTTCATTGACCGTCCTTCCTGTGGTGGCACTAGCATTCACTTGATGAATGCCGTCTTTTGAGAGAACATCATACTATACGTTGCTACCATAATTCAATTCTTCTTCAAAAAACCATATATAGATGACATCTCTTAAAATGTATATACATTTTTTGGCACCCCCAGTGTGCGTGTGTGTGTGTGTGTTTTGAGTGTCATGGTGGAATACCACGTGAAAACACAATGACCAACTCTAGTAGTTTGTTCTTCTGAAATGTATGCGTTTAAACAATGTGAAATATACATCCATACATTGTAAAATAGATACATTTAGACAAGGTCTGCTTTGATGTTTCTGCTGAATAGTATTAATCAGAATTTTCCAAAAAATAACACAGACAACAAAGTTGTGATGGGGAGCATATATTCTACAAATTGGTTGAACTCAGTCCTGTGGCTGTGGCTTTAGCATTTCTGGTTTCAGTGTACAGTACAACTGTTACCCTCTGAAACGGTGGAGGTCAAGCTGTGAATGCAGCTGGGAGTGACAACTAGACCAGATGGTGAATGTCTGCGCCGGGTGTGGGAGCAGACTTTGATCCTATACAGTCTAAGGAATGTCGTGAATCTTCCAATAATGACTGCTGATGATGAGGGACTGAGCTGCCTGGCAGAGGGGAAGGTCCCCCTGGGAGGGTCCAGAGGCTGGGGGCTAAGAATACACTGGAAGGAATTTCATCAATGGGTCACTGCAGTCTACAGTCAGGCCTCTCGAAAGCCTAGACCCTGCCCCAGTTACAGTCACACGTCGCTTAGCAACAGGGACATGTTCTGAGAAATGTGTTCTTGGGGGATTTTGTAGTTGTGTGAACATCACAGAGTGTACTTACGCACACCCAGACAGTATAGCCTGTGACTCCTAGCCTGAATGGCCCAGCCTATCACTCCTGAGCTGCAGACCTGAGCTGTATGTGACTGCACTGAATACTGCATGCAGTTGTAACACAATGGGAAGTATTTGTGTATCTAGACATAGAATAGGTATAATAAAAAGACTATAGTGTTATAATTGTATAGGGTCAGGTACAGTGGCACATACCTGTAATCTTAGCACTTTGGGAGACCGAGGTGGGAGAATTACTTGTGCATAGGTTTGAGACCAGCCAGTACAACATAGTGAGACTTTGTCTCTACAAAAAAATACAAAATTTAGCCAGGCATGGTGGTGCACCCTGTAGTCCTAGCTATTCGGGAGGCTGAGGCAGAAATATTGCTTGACCCCATCTGTTGGAGGCTACAGTGAGCCGTGATCGTGCCACTGCACTCTAACCTGGGTGACAGAGTGAGAACCTGTCTCCAAAAAAAAAAAATTGTAAAGATCGTATGGAACCACCGTTATATACGTGGTCCATCACTGACAAAAACATTGTTATGCATTGCATGACTGAATCATGAAAACATAGAGCAATCAGGCAAGAACAAACTGTGAAATAAAACGATTTTTTACAAATCCATATTCTGGGGATTTCTGATAGTCCAAGAGGCATCAGTGTTTCTTGTGCATTGCATCCAGATGTGGCATGTAGTTTCCGTCTGCTTCCCTACCCTGGGTGTTAGACACAGAGAAAGATGCCACATCAGGCCTGGCAAAGGAGAGGGTTCCATGCCCCTGAGGACTTGGGAATTGCATCCGCACGTGGCCCACGCCACCATGGAAGGGGAGTTCCTCCCACGCCGCACTTACCTTTGCTTGACAGGCTCTGCGTCACTCTGAATGCTGCTCCCCTGGCTGGTTCCTCCCTATGTGAATGACTTGGGCCTGCCTTTCTGCCAGGTTCTGTGGGGATCTATATACGCCCGTGATCTCCTTCAGTCATGACCACATTCCGGAGAGGCCAGCAGGCAGCTCATCCTGGGCATGATCACTGTTGCAAAGTGGACCACAGGGGCCTCAGCCGCGAGTCTCCCTCACCTCACCTCAGAGTGCTTCCCCAGCTCTGTGACACCTCCCTGTGCCTCTGGGGGGCTAGAGTGCTTCTGGATTTTACTGGCATCCTAATTCTGCATTTTCCACACTGGTGATGCTCTCATGTCTGGCATTTACAATCATTCCCTTCTCATGGCCTTCGTATACTTTGTATACTTATGTTTTGTAACTACTGGGGCAAGTGCAAAGAGCCTTGGGTACCTTGACCGAGGTCTGCTTACCTTGCCCCTGGCTCTGAGGCAGGCTGTCCCAGCTGACATTCAGGTGACCTCCTGGGTACTGAGCCCCAGGAAAAAGTTCCACTTTCTCTCCTTTCTGTAAAGAGTCAGTACGTATTGAGAGTTCACGGTGTGCCGAGTTTCCATCAGATACCCTATTTTTTTTTTTGAGTTGCGGTCTCTAGCCCAGGCTGGAGTGAAGTGGCATGATCTCAGATCACCACAGCCTCAACCTCCTGTGATCAAGTGATCCTTCCGCCTCAGCCTCCTGAGTAGCTGGGACTACAGTTGTGCGCCACTGAACGTGGCTAATTTTTTTTATATTTGGAGAGATGAGGTCTCACTATGTTGCCCAGGCTGGTCTCGAACTCCTGGGCTTAAGCAAGCCTCCCGCCTCGGCATCCCAAAGTGTTGGGATTACAGGCATGAGCCACCATGCCCGGCTGGCCATCGGGTATTCTTGAAGTGTTGGAAGAACAGAAGTGGACACTTTCTGGGAACAGAACTGTTGTGTGCGTGTGCCTGGTTTGTGTTAGGTAACCATTTGGAAATCGGCACCCATTGTTCCATTGACTTTTTAAGATTTCTGGGCATGGTGTTATCTTCCGCATTGTAGATGAGGAAGCAAGACAGAGAGAGAGAAACATGCCCAGTGCCCTGTGGAAAGTGGCAGGGTCTGTGGGAGCTGGGGTCGTGGGCCACCAACTGCTACTGATGGGAGCTGGGCTGTGGGAGTCTAGCTGGGCCTGGAAGTACGAGCCAAGACAGGAGTTAAAACACATTTTTTTGAGAAGCCCAGATGGTAAAGACTGTAGGTTTTGTGGGCCGTGAGGTCTCATCTCTGCCTTTAGCAAGCCAAAGAACCATGGACAATGTGTAAAGGGATGAAGGGGCTGTGTTGCAATAAAACTTTATTTACAAAAGCATGCAGTGGGGATGGGTTTGGGCCACAGGCAGCAGTTTGCTGACCCTTGAGCCAGATGAGCACAGCATATGTGAAGGCACAGAGTGAGAGCACTGAGAGCACTCCAGGAGTCCGGTGTGTTCCATCCTTTGGGGAGGGCCAGGTGGGCACAGGGCAGGAGTACATGGTCTGCATTTGGACCCAGGCTTTTATTCCACTGTCGTCTTGATAGAAAACAGAACTCAGATGCTCTCTGCCCTCTTCCCTTCCTGGGTTTCAGTCTGAACTTGACTTCTGAGTGTTCTCTGCCAGGCCTTCTGCCTTCCCACTGCTCCCCCACCCCCGAGGGTGCCCTGACTCAAGTTCTCACTGAGAGCAGGCCTGAGATGCAGCACGATTCCGCTGCGGCTTCGAGGACCCCCAGGCCCGAGTCTTGAGTTCCCTGGGGTGCAAGTGATGGAGGCGTTCAGGGAACATGCCCTGGGTGTAGGTGGGTGGGCTTCTGTGATTGCCAAACGCCCTTCCTATAGGTAGTCTCAGCTTGAGCCGCTGGGACACAGCCCAGAGCCTGGGTGGGAGAGGATGCAGGTAAGGACAGGGCCAGCCTAGGAGCAGCCATGGAAGGCAGCTCCGAGGCCAGCAGGGGCCAGAGCAGAAGAGCATGGGTCTTTGAAGGCTGTGTGGCAGTTCCCCAGTGGGACTTTGTACTCACCCTAGGAACTGTCAGTTGAATATAAACCACCAATGTCTTCTGACCCAAGAAGAAGGGAAACTCCAGGAGGGGTTAGTAACAAAGGGAAGGAGGTCAGTGTTGTCAGCTTGTCACGGTGAGCGCTTTGTGGCTGTGAAGCCTCAGGTCAGTTTCAGGGAGAGAGACAGGGTGGATGAGCGGCCTTGGGGGCAGGCACGTAAGGGTTTCCGGCATCCTTGAGGCTCCACTCAGAGCATGGCCTAAGCATCCTCATCCTGTCCTGTGAGAGCTTGTTAGAAACCAGCATCCTGGCCCCAGCCCAGACCTGCGGAATCCAAGTCTGCATTTCAGCAGGTCCCCCAGGGCGTTCACATACACAGAATATCTGCAAAATCTTGCCATGGGCAACACCACTGACGACACACGAGACCATTCCCTGTCCGAGTTGAGCTTGTAGAAACCAGGATCTTAACCAGGCCCCTGTGTTCAGAAGAAACATCTCAGAATCAAGGGCAAGGCTGCCTCTCCTCTGCCCTGGGGACGAGCCACTTCTTGGGCTGTTTGCACCCTTGAAAAGGAGTGGTTTTGTAAGGGATGATCAGTGCCATACGAAGAGGCGGGCCGGGTGGGAGAGGTGATTTACCATGCATTGTTGAGAGCTGCTCACATGTGGAGGTAATAAAAAACAGACCAACTCTAAATCGGTTTTATTATTGTTTTTAATTCACTACAGTCAGTGCACCCCCTTGTTGCGGATACCTCTTGTTCCCAGGATCCAGCCCTTGGTGTGGCACAGACACCAGTAGATTTTGGGGGTGGGGGGTATTATGAGGGAGAGGAAGGTGGGAAGTCTGTGGGAGTTCTAGAAACCATCAGAGCTCATGGTTTTGTCACACAGTGTCCACAGGCTGTGGAGAGAAATACTGTCTCCCACAGCGAATGAGCCAAGAGCATAAACAGACAATTCGTGGGAGAGGAGACATTCATAAGCAAATATCTGGGAAATATTTAGCTTTGTGCATAATTTAAATATGTAACATATAAAGTTGTGCCTACTAGATTATCAGAATAGTATTTTTAAATGCCAGTACCCAGGGCCAAGGGTATATACTGTAATATGTTGTATGTATACTGTAGTATGACACACGAGTTTGTTGCTCATGACATTGTACAGTGATTAATACCACTTAGGAAGCAATTTGACATATACTGGGGTGCCAAAAAATGTATGCACATTAAAAGAGATGTTACCTATGTAGTATTTTTAGTTTGCCATCATCAAAAGTGTCTGGACACTCATAGTAAACACTTTGAGCATCTCTTGTAATTGCAGAAGTCAGATGTGACTTGTATTCATCTACAATTTTAATAGTTTTTTTCCTTTCTTAAAACATGTATACATTTTTTTTGGGCACCCTCTGTATTTCACAAGCCAGTAAAATATACATATCCCTCCAACCAGTAAACCCACTTCCTGGAACGTGTTCTTAGGAAATAGCCCAAAACATGGGGAAAGCCATCTGTATAAGGATATTCTCATAGAGTTGTCATTTATAATAACAAAAACTTGAAGGCAGCTAGATATCTAACACTTGGTCAATGAATGATATGGTTACGGTATGTTGAGTTTGTAGAATACCACAGAGCCATTTATAATTATGGTTATGAAAAATATATAGCAACATGAAAAAGCTCGAGGCTGGGTGCTGTGGATGACATGTGTCATCTCAGTGCTCTGGGAGGCCCAGGAGGGAGGATCGCTTGAGGCTAGGAGTTTGAGACTAGCCTGGGCACCATAGTGAGACCCCCATCTCCATTAAAAAAAAAAATTAGCCAGGCATGGTGGTACATGCCTGTAGTCCCAGCTACTCAGGAAGCTGAGGAGGGAGGATTGTTTGAGCCCAGGAGTTCAAGGTTACAGTAAGCCGTGATCATGCCATTGTACTCTAGCCTGGGCAACAGAGCAAGACCCTGTCTCTAATAAACAAATAAACAAAAACGAAAACACTCTTATGTAATGTAATATTAAATGAAAAGGGTGGAGTGGGAAATTTTATGTTGCTTTTGTTTACGACTAGGAAAACGTGCTTATAGGTGAAAAAAAAAAAAAGGTAAATGGAAGCATAACCAAAAGATAGAAATTGTCTTGGTAATTTTTCTTTTACTTTCAAACTTCCCATAATATAGCTCTGTTGCTTCTAAAACTTAAAAAAAAAAAGTTTATCTTTTTGGCAAAACATTGAAAATACAGACATGGATAATTCCTGCTTTGGCAAGTAGAAAAGAATGCTTGCTTTTCTTCAGCTCCCAAATTCTGGAACCTGCCTGAAAACCTTGGAGAAACTAGGAACTGGGATGATGGCAAGGTTCTGGGGCCTCATTCCTTAGCGGAACAGCTCTGAGATGAACCAGGAAGAAGATGCCAGCCAGTTCCTGTGGCAGAGGGGTGGGGGGGGGTCATGTGCCGGGCAGCTTTGTGAGCCACCCAGTGCTCAGGGAATGACTTAGGCAAGACCCAGCCGGAGCCCGGCACATCCCAGCGTCTCCCAGCCCATGGAGGGAGGGGGACCTACCCTTGACCAGCCTCATGAACGATTCAGACAAGAAATGGAAACACTTGACTGTGTGTCCTGCCTTCCCATCAACACCTGGGTTTTTAAACATTCTTTTTTGTTCATCAGTTTTGCTCTGCGACAACATACTGCAGTGTTAGGCTTCATCTTAGGCCTTCCAGCTCTTTCTCTGGCTAACCGCGGGTACTGGCAGTGGGTCACTTGTGCCCTCTAAGTGCAAGGGCAGGCCCCTCCTGTCTTCTGTCCCTTCCCCTAGTAATCAGCCCAAAGGCTGAAAGCATTATTCGGGGACAAAGTTTCTCCTTTACCACCAGACGCTTACTGCCACGGCTTGGGATGAGCTCAGGGCCATCACTGCACATTTGAGGCCTGTACGTGTTTTTTCAGCAGTCAGGAGATAAAAATGCAATTAAACATAGGTGATAACGACTGGGATGCTTCCTAGCGATTCATGGAGGCCTTCAAGGTGATGGCTTTGGGCGAGCCTAGCTGAGAGCCATTAACAGCATCAGTCTGTATAACGGGTTTTCCAGGCTAGGAGATCATTTAAAAGAGATCTTTGTGGAAGAAAAAAAAGGAATTGTCTGCACAACGCGCTTTCAGCACCATATTTGTAATGACACGCCAGTGCCAAGCAATCTCAGCTTTCACATTTGTGGTTTTTACTTTGCGCCGACGGTTCCAGAGTCCCCTGATGTGGCGTCCATTGGTGACAGTTTTGCTGAGGTGTGAAGTTGAAGCAAGAGGATTTCCTGACAGGTGCTTGGAGGCAGATCCCTTAGCTCAGGGAGCGCCCATTCAACTCTCCAGGCCTGTGCTGGAAACATCTGTGGCTTGACTCTCTTAATTCTCACAGCCATTGAGAGGCAGGTGTGATTAACCCCACGTGGGAGGCCAGAAACTGAGGCTGGAGGAGGTTAAGTAGTGTGCTTAGGCATTCCGAGAGTTGCCAGTGAAACCCTGATTTTAGGACTGATTCAAAGCCTCTGAGTCAGTCACCCCAGCTGTAAAAGGAGGGTGACAATCCCTGCTGACCCTACAGTCACTCTGAGTGACAAAAGAATCAGTTCCAAACAGTAAACTATTCTCCCTCTCTCTCTCTCTGTCCCCCTCACTCACCCCCATCCCACAAATTGGATGTATTTTAGTTTTGAGGCCACAGAATTCAAACGAAAACCAGTAAGCTGAAAAATGAATCCCAAGGAAGAAAAACGAAATAAGATTGTTAGGATGGTGAGAAAGTAAATGTGGCTTCTGAAAACTGATATCTGGGAAGACATACCCGTTTGAATGCTAAGGGGTGTCATCTGAAGAGGGTTTTTTTCTTACGTTTTCATAGTGTTGAGAATGCAGGAGAGGCAGCTTCTGCACTTGTCAAGTCTAACCTCATTTTCTGAATGTATGTTCTGGTCTAGCGGGCTTTGTTGAGATGATCTCAGCCTGGTGCCTTCTCAGACTCACCAGATAGACACTGGGGCTTCACCGCAGTGCTGAGCGGCCCACCCCTGAAGGGCGACCCCACAGAAACTACTGGAAATACAGGAAATGCCTTGGATGGCAGCGTCTGTGTTCTGACTCCTCCTCCCACCCTGCCGTCCTCACCGAGAGAAAGTGCAGGCCCTGAAAGCTTGAGTCACTTGTGCACACTGGGTTGTTTTCCACACGTGTGGTGTTTTCGTCACTGTTGCTATTATGGGAAGGAAGACAACCCGGGCATTGTTTCATATTCACTCATCTTTGTGGGTGACATTTGGGTTTTGGCTCATCTCTGCATATCTTGGTGCAAAGGAAGGTTATTTAATACACAGTCCCATTACTTAACTGCTCTTGTCACTCTGAAGACCCAGTTGAACTACCATTAAACTTTGACTCGGTGACTGTGCAAATAGGGCTGTGTTTCCTCTGTTTGTTTGTTTCTCGTTTAAACCCGTAGTTGATGCAGCCAACCTAATCGAATTTTCAGAGAAAAGAAATAATTGCCGAAATAAGGACTAAAAAGAAATTTGTGTCTTTTGAAAAATGAGGTTTTAGTTTTTGGAAGATGAGTCTCAGAAATCCCCACTTACTGTTACCTTGGATTTATTTCTAGGTGTTTCTTATATCCTTTCTTCCTGAGTAAAATGATTACCTTCTCAGTGCATAGAGTTTTCCTTATCACTTCTAGTGTCAGGTGTAATGCTGAGCATAGAGGAGGAACTTTGTGGGTGCTTGTTGACATGATCATGTGCACCTGCCTGTACACGCGTGCACACCTGTGTGTATGTGTGCGCAAGTTTTTTCTCCTTTGCAGTGCCCAACTTTTCCTTCTATCACAGGTGTTTGAGATGGACATCGCTAAGCAGCTACAGGCTTATGAAGTCGAGTACCACGTGCTTCAAGAAGAACTTATCGACTCCTCTCCTCTCAGTGACAACCAAAGAATGGATAAATTGGAGAAAACCAACAGCAGCTTACGCAAACAGAACCTTGACCTTCTCGAACAATTGCAGGTAAAGCATGTTTATAAAGCGGCTTCCTGAACCGCAAGTACAGAGTAGTTCATTAACTCACCAAAGGCAACGGCAGGCTGGGCTTTCCCATGACCGGAGGACCTTTCTCGCCCTGATCTGTTTATAGTTGGGATCAAAGGGATCCCAGGAGAATAGGTCCCTTTCATTGAGGAGCAGATTTTCCTGTGCTAAGGTCAGACAGTCCGGGAGCTTTCTGAGGAGCTGTTTCTGCACTCACCCTTTTAGGCCCGGAGATGAACTTGGCTTCAGGATGCTGTGGCACGTCAGCTGAATGCCAGCAATTGTGCTTTGAGTAGCAATGGGAGAACCGAGGGCTTTGACTTCTTGAACGACACCAGCTAGGTCCACGGAGGGACAGCCTGGGAGGCTCTGGTTTATTTTGTTGGGTGGGTTTCATATTGACCCAGAAACCCACCCAACAAAATAAACCAGAGCAGATGATTATTTGTGAGTCCTTGGTGTGAATACAAAGATTTGATTAACGAAGAGCTCAGTTGTCCCCTCTAGAAACTTCCATCTCAACATGGATGTGTAAGGCTGGTCGGTGAGAGGGGCAAACACTGAGGGATGATCCAGAGACCCAACCGGGCCAGCTGTGGTGTTAACCTCACGTACTCTGTCACCCAGACACTGCTGCCCCGCTCTATCCTGATGCCCTTATCTGTGGGACAGGGACAAAAAGAACACCTCACTATATGGTGCAGCACCTTTTTCAAACAGCTGGCATACAGCAACCATACGTGCCACTTTCATAATGCCACACGTGAGTGGTACTGCTGTCAATGTTAGGGAGTTGTCTTAAAGGTGTTTTAAAAAATTGTTTTTGAGTTGCTTTGGAGAAAAATACATATTTTCCCCCCAAAATACATATTTTCTGGTGTTCTGGGCAGTCATTAGAATAAGCTCTCCATTCTGATCTAAGTCTCTGATTTTCTTCCATAGAAAGTTGCGCTTTGCAGATGCAAGCTTGGTGTAGAAAGACCAGCACTCCAAGCCTAGTGAATCAAGCTGTCTGCCACACGTGCCTCCCAGTGGACATTTATCCCACCGACCCTAGCAGATAGAGACAGGAGAAGAACAAAGACCACATGCTTTTCCTACCCAGTCCTAACGCCACTCACATTCTGAATTTCCTATTTTCCCTAAGATTGAGATGCCCTAACTTAATCCACGCCTGTATGCCATTTCCCCTGGAAGTCTCAGCTGTCACCTGAAGGAGTCCCAAGGGGACAAAGAGCCTCCCCTGCCCCGTGAGGAGGGTACCCAGTGTAGGTGGTCATTTTAAACAGCTTCCGAGCCAACAGTAGGTCCCTGAAGTATAATGTGATGGAAACACAGCTAACAAAGCCCATATTTGCATTTGAAGCCTTTGACTTGTTAAGATAGGCGACACTCAAATACAAGGTTCATTTTGTTGGGTGAATGCCCATGTGGGTTTTTGGTGACAGGAGGCAGAAAGCAGTGTTATGCTGCTGCTGGGATACTATGTCCCTTTTGTGAAGACAGGGAGTTGTGAAAAGCTCCAACAGCTGCATTCCTCACAAAAGGCATCGGCCAGTAATTGGTAATAGCCGATATTCTACCCGGAATGGTCATTCTCCTGGCCAAGGGTTCCTATACTTCTGGAAGGATCCTTCAGGACTGCAGTCTATGCCAGCCCACCAGGGTTTCCTGAGTCCTTGCAGTGCACTGCAGCTCTCAAAGGGTCGAGACTGGGTGTGTTGTGTTGACATGTGGCTTTCAGATGTAGTTTTTTCCTTATTCTGTATGCATCTCATATGTGAGAATCATGCCTCTTCTTTGTACGGTTTTCAGAGGCTGTCCAAGGAAAGGTGTTCAATACAGTACTGAATTTTTGTACTTTTTATTTTTTGCAACATATCCGAATTGACCTATTTTCTAGCTTTGATCTGTTGATAAAGTTGTTAGACATAGCAAAGCACCATTTATTTTCTTGTTGAACACATGAGAACATTGTCTGGAAGTTGGAGGTCAAACTCTTCCACTGTTCTTTTCAGCAGTATATCAGGTGATTACATGGATATGCCAGGTGGTGCCATGTAATAACACACATAGGTCTTTCCTAGTAACCCATGTGAGTCATTGATGCCCACGCTGCGTAGGAGCCCTGGGAGGCGGGACCATGCATGAAAGATAAGATGTGCTTTCTTCTCTAAAAGAGTATCCATCTCATGAAGGAGACCTGACATCTGTGCAGAATAGTATAATCATTATTTGCGAGTCCTTGGTGCAAATACAAAGATTTGATTAATGAAGGGCTTAATTGTCCCCTCTAGAAACTTCCATCTCAGCATGGATGCAGAAGACTGGAGGAGGAGGGGGACAAGCACTGAGGCGTGATCCTGAGACCCGGCCATGCCACCCCTCACACACACTGTCACCTGGGCACTGCTGACCCTCTCTGTCCTGTTCTGTGTGATAAGGACAAAAAGAATACCTCACTGCATAGTGCAGCTTCTATTTGACCACGCAAATTAGCTCATTTATTAACTCAGCCACAGGGAGCACCTGGGAATGCAGGGGACTTCAAAGGGGTGAGGGTGGGGCCTGACCCCCACCTGGACAATGGGTAGGATTTTGAGGATCAGAGAGCACTCCTTGGAGGCATCCAGCAAGCGTGATCACCCCTTGCCCATAAGCCCACAAACTGAGGCTTCCAGTCCTCTCTTCTTCTACTGCAGTGTTCCAGTGGCCCAGAGCTACTTTGAGTCACAAATGATCTGTCAGGCACAAGTGTTGTCTTGTTCCAAACACTGTTTTCCTTGTTTAAAAAATGAGGAAAAAAATGTCCCGTTTTTCCCCACCTAAAATCAATGGGCGCATATACAGGGCTGGACTGCATTCATGAGATAAATCAGCCCCTTCCTGACCCAGTGACCAGAGCACTCCAGGACACAGCTGTGAACCGAGGGGTGGGCCAGGCCAGAAAGGCCTCAGGGACGTCAGTGTGAATGTAGGAGTTTCTGCAGTTTTCTCAGGGAGCCCCTCAAGCTCACTAGCGCTGATGCACTTGTTACCTAGGTAGCCTGCCCTGGTGGATTAGAGAGGAAGGGACAGCTACTAGAGAGAAGCATCTAGAAGTTCTCCTTAACTGCATGAATTGTGTGTGAGTTGCTGAGGCTGTAAGCTGAGGGAGAGCCTGCTCCTCCTCTGTGGGGTGGGCCTGAGGGTACCGCTTATATCTGCGGGTGGGGGTGACACATCGGTGAGACAGGACACATGAACCTCTTAACAGAATGCTTGGACATTCTAAAGACTCCATGTGTGTTCTGGGAAAAATGCCCATGTTTCCTGACCTAGTAATGTCTTGCTACTCTAAGGGAAATAAAGAAAAGGAATTTCAGACTGGAGAACTGTTACCACTTGGGCCTTTACCTAGAAACCATCTTGAGTGTTTATCAGTCTAAAATCAATTTGTGCATGTGGGTATATGTGTGAGTCAAAATAGGCCAGGCTTTGCTTCAGTAACAAATACAACTCCTCACCTCACTGGTTTTGTGTCCCTGAATGCCACCTCTTTCCCTGGGACCTTCTTTGCTCATGTCAGAGCTGTCCTTCCTGTGGTGGTGATGGGAGAGGGGTTGTTCCTCTGCATTGTAATGCTACCAGCTTAACATCCGGCTTCCCGGGTTGTCACAGCAGGGGAAGAAACTGCTGGTGCATCTCCGGTATCTTTAAGGGCCTGGCCCACCTGCAAGGGAAGCTGGGAAATGTCTTCCCATGCAGCCAGACCTGATAATAAACCCTAGACTCGGCTCTGCCAAGACAGGGCTCAAGAGTGCTCCCAAGACTGCACTTTGAGGGGACGGTGGGCCCCGCCTGTGTCATCTTGGGCAGTTGTGTTCTCATGTCTTCATTTATTCTCCAGGTGGCAAATGGGAGGATCCAAAGCCTTGAGGCCGCTGTCAAGAAGCTCCTGGCCAGTGAGAGCAAACTGAGGCAGGCCACACAGACCCTGGAGCTAGAGCGCTCGGCCCTGCTGCAGACGGTAGAGGCCCTGCAGAGGCAGAGCGCAGAGGCCGGTGGCCAGGAGCCTGACCCTGTGTAGCCTGGGCCCTCGGGCGACTGACCGCACTGCAGGGGAGACTGTGATGCCTTCCCACACTGTCCAGGCCTTAACGAGAGGGACAGAAGATGCTAGAGGCAGAGAAGAAAGCGTGACGCGTGCTTCTCAGGGAGGACACGGGCTCGCCGGGCTGCAGATGTGTGAGAATTCGGACTTGCGTTCAGGGCGAGTGTCCCAGCATTGTTGTTGTTATTGTTGTTGTTTTTGTTGTTGTTTTTAGGTTCTCTGTCGTCCCTTCTCCAGTTCTGACGACTGTATGCAGTAGCTTTAGGTGGCACAGATATGAATAAATGCACCTTTGTGTTTTCTTGTTGATTCCGCTTTCAGTATCACTGTGTTTGCAAAGAGAATTCATGACACTGTGGAAGGTCAAAGTCAGAAGGGCTCAAGATGGTTCCTCAGGCAAAGGTGTGGTCCATCATTCTTCCAAAGAAGGTCCACAACCAACCCTCAGTGTCACTGGTCAGATGCAGCTGGGTCTTGTCCATTCTTGTAAGGGAAACCTAAGGTGATTCCTGGCAAGTGTGGAAAGTGATTTACTGAAATTGGACATCTTGATCACTATCAGGTGAACTTGACCACTATCCTTGGTATTTAAGGAAGTTTTTCTTTAAAAAAAGTAGTGTTTCTATACATTTTGCTCATCACATAAGTATAGTTCCCCAAAGATAAATGTTTTATGGAAAAATCACCGGTTTTTAAAACCTACCAGGTATTGCTGGAGTGTGAGCTGCAGTTGTGGGCTCTGAGATACTTATTTCTTTGTAGTAGTTTCAAGCCCACACTACAGAGCCATATATTTATTTTTACCTGTCGTATGACATCATGCAACCAATGTCCTTTGAAAATCTGATTCTTGCAGAAGGAGCAGGACACATCAAGACATTAAGGGGTAGCCCAAAATCCTGGGAGTTCTTGTTTTGTTTGTTTTGTTTTTGAGTCAGAGTCTCATTCTATCTCCCAGGCTGGAGCACAGTGGCACACTCATGGCCACCTCAGCCTCAACTGGCTGGGCTCAGGTGATCCTTCCACCTCAGCCTTCCAAGTAGCCGGAACTATAGGCGTGTGCCACCACGCCTGGCTAATATTTTGATTTTTATTGTAGAGACGAGGTCTCGCCAAGTTGCCCAAGCTGGTCTCAAACCCTGGGCTCAGGCAATCCTCTTGCCTCCACCTCCCAAAGAGCTAGGATTACACATGTGAACCACCTCATGATTCTGGGACTTTCAAAAAGATCAGGATGAAACTCCATCAGATATATGAGAGCTGACAGTTTTTCAGAAGTAGAACACATATTTTGAACTTGACTTGCACACAGTGACTCCACTCCTTCAAAACACTGAGTACCCTATGCCTTCAACAAGCGAAACACTGCTCATGGTCGCCCTGGATTTGGCTGGTCACTGTGGGAGGCCTCTCCGATGTGTTCTTAGAACGCATTGTTTTCTTACAAAGGCTAGGTTAGAAAAGAACTGTGCAGACATAGGTTGCTTCTGGTCTTTTCTCTGTAATCATTACCACATCTTCCATTCCACGGGAGGCTCTTTTGACGCTCTCAGTGGTGGGTTCTCTTAAGCTGGGGTTGAAAGGAGAGATTGTGGTACTTAAAAGTCATTATGACTCTCCCCGGCCATTCCAAAGTGCGGCCTCTGGTGCCGAAACAGTTGGTCATCTCTGAGCCGCCTCCTAATTCCTGGGTCAGGTCAGATCCCTCGTTCCCATCATAAACCAAGATGATGAGTCCAGGAGACTGGATCCCTGAGTGGTTCCACCGATGTCACTTAGAGGAGTTAATATTAGAGGGCTTCTTTTCACATCATGGTTTACTGTTTGAATGTTTAATAATATTGAATTTTGGACATCTTATTACTCAAAAACATTGACTCTGCATTGAACAAGAAGCAAGAAAGCAATAAAACAAGAAATAATTCATGCCCATGTTTTTATGGTGTTTGTTTGTTTCACTTTGGATTTTTGCTTTTACGCTGGGGAGTAAAAGAATGCCCCAGGATACCTGTAGGTCTAAGTATACACATTACCTAACCATCAGAGAGATTTTGAGATACTGGGTCAGCTTCCAGTATTGCCACCCAAGTGTTTATGATGTTGTCACATCTCTACACAAGGTGTGAATGTTACCACTGACCAGAGGAGCTCTGTCAATTGTGCCTGACAGGGAGTGTGCTTACAAGATTGCATTGGGCGGAAAGGACTGTTGACATGAGCCTGTGGGTATAGGCTGGGTGTGACCTCAGCCTGGGGCTTAGCAAAACCCAAAGAGGCAACTCATGAGGATTCTTAGCCCACATTTTTCAGTCGACTTTCGTGTTAGTTTCCTCATAACACACAACCATATATGCACACATGCGTGCACTTGGAAGTTCTTTCCTTTGATGCCATGTATGCCTCTTACGCAAGGCATTATGACCCCTTGCGAAGCGCACAGCCCCCTAGAACATGGAGGAGACTCTTCAGCGTGCACACTCAGTATGGCTTCCTCCCAGAGTTGCATGTAAGCGGAACGACAGTGTCGGTTTGGGGATCTGTGTGTCTGGTTAGTTGGGTGAATTGGGAGGAGAGTTGCTCTGAGTGTTATGGGATACTGGATTTTGTTACAGAACTAGGTCAAGCACAGCTGTGTGAAGAGCTGCAGAAGAGAAGGCTCAAAAGGAGATGTGAATCCAGAGAAATGACCAGATCAGCCTTCCGAGACTCAGAGCACAAGTCTGCTGCTGATGTGAGCAGGCGACATGTGGGGAGCTCCGTGGGAGGCTGTCACGGCCACAGTGACCACCCCTATGGGCCTGCAGCCAGTGGTGGGCCTGGGGCCACAGGTCAGGAAAGAAGAGCTAGACTTGAAGCAGAGGGGAATGAGAACAAGCCGAGGAATGAGGACACCCTGCACACTGTAGTGCCAAGTCTAACTTAGAACCACCGAGGGAGAATACTCTAGGAAATGTAGTTAAAGATTAACCAAGTTAACACAGTGTAAAGCACCGAAGTTAATTCTGGAACCTGCCTCATTTGAATGACAGCTTACACGTATGAATCGTTTTACAGAGAGGTCCTTACTCTCAGCATATTTGGGTGGTGATCAGTCGAATTCAGACTCAGGGACTGACATTGGTGTTGAGAATCCCTGATGATGCAGCTATGGAAATGACAAACTGCAGAGACCACTACTGGCTTCCAGGACACCTCCCTGCCTTCCTCTGCTCCCCCACTGCCAGCTGCACGAAGGGCTGACTCTGATTACCGTTTAATTCTACACATGCACATCCAGAAACTTGCTTTGTAGGAAAGCAGTGCACAAGCCACATTGTCTAAGTCTCGAGTTTGGCATGGCTCAAAATCTTAGACTGGGAAAGCTGAGGGGGAGTTTCCACTGCATTCTGGAACATCACCTCCCCCCTTATTTTATAGAGGAAAATGCCGAGTGAGGTGAAGAAGTTCAAAATCCCCTAGTGGTTGTCTGCAGGATCAGTTGATCCGTGGTCTTTGGACTATGTCATGGTGGACAGCACCCCTCTTTAATTCCCAGGGGTGTTGGAACCATTTCTGGTGACATCAATTTATGAGAAAGGGAAAGGTCTGCTTCATTTTCATAAAGCTGATCTGTATCATAAGGCACCCAAATTAGGGGCTCTCCTGAAATACAGCTTTGATTTGTCATGAGTTAAAACTGGGAGACTCGTGAGTGACCCCTAAGTGTGGTCTTAGGGGTGGGGGACACTGCCACAGCAGGATCGGATACAGTTACATGCAATGTTTCCTCTTGACCACGCTTTCTTTTTTTACCATTGGTCTTTTGAAAACCTTCACTCTGTAATGTTTTTAGAAAAAAAAGAAATCAGCACAGACCTCCCTTTGGCTTTATAGAAGGGAAACCTTCCATTATGTAAAGATTTTTGCTGCCATCTCTAGAAATGATCAAAAAAGGATTAGAGAAATGTAAGAATTATGATTGGAAAATGCAGCCACAATAGTTACTTGGACATATGGAAATTTATAATAAAATATTAAAAAGAACATTCTTAGTATCTAGCCTTCATATCTTTCCCCTCATGTCTCTAAACCAGCAGTCCCCAACCTTTTTGGTATCAGGGACCAGTTTCATGGAAGACAGTTTTTCCACGGGGGTGTGGCCAGGGAGATCATCAGGCATTAGATTCTCTTAAGGAGTGTGCAACCTAGATCCCGCACATTTGCAGTTCACAGTGAGGTTTGAGCTCCTGTGAAAATCTAATGCCACCGCTGATCTGATAGGAGGCGGAGCTCCACTCACCCACCACTCGCTCCCCGCTATGAGGTGCCATTCCTAACAAGCCAAAGACTGGTACTGGTCTATGGCCCCGGGGATTGGGGACCCCTCCTGTAAACTGAATAATGACCAGCTGTCTTGGTTGTAAACCCTACTGGCAAAGTGTTAAAATGTATACCACCAGATGTATGTTCATTAATAAATTTTGCACTCAATTGTATCATAAAATACAAGTTTAGAATGTGGTTAAAATACATACAGTGTTTAAAAATATTAGTGATAAAGCTGCAATCCAATGTTTTTAAGGAGAACATTGAACACTCATTATTTTCAATGTTGTTTTAAAACTGATATAATAATTCAGATGTCAGTTTCCAAGTTCAGCCTAATTTGATGGCTGGTTTTCATGCACTATCATGGATGAAGAAAAAGGTGACTTCCAAAATCTAGTAACTCTAAATGGAGGAAGCCCATGACTGGTCACATTAAGTCATAATGTTCCTTGTCCAATTTTATTAATCAGCTATGCAAAGGTTTTTGTTGAAATCTGGCTAGTGAATTTCCATCTTCTATCATGGCAGACAACACAAACTAATCAAAATGTCTTAAACTATTGTCTTTTTTTTTTTTTTTTTTGAGTAAGAGTCTCACTCCGTCACCCAGGCTGGAGTGCAGAGGCACGCTCACGGCCACTCCAGCGACAACATGCTGGGCTCCTGCGATCCTTCCACCTCAGCCCTCCAAGAGGCCGGAACTACAGCCACGCGCTACTATGCCTGTCTAATTTTTCATTTATTGTAGAGATGAGGTCTCCCCAAGTTGCCCAGGCTAGTCTCAAACCTACGGGCTCAGGTGATCTACTCGCCTCAGCCTCCCAAAGAGCTAGGATTACAGGCTGAGCCACCAAGCCCGGCCTTCTTTTGTCATTTTTAACCAAAGGCTTTAAAACACTGAAACTCTCCATTTAGAGACTTTTGAACAAATTATAAAAGCATTTCCAAGTTTGTTTGAGTAACACCCTCACGTGATTTTTGACCACAATGTAACCACACCC